GGTGAGGTTGTTCTGAGTCCACCTGCGCCTCTGACTCTCCCGGCTGCTGACTGCTAGGTTTCCTATCTGCCTTCTTGCTCCATAAAGGCAGCACATCTCACTGGCTCTCCCTCACTCACCCCCCCCCCTTTCTCTCTCTCTCTCTCTCTCTCTCCCTCTTCCTCCATGACGAGTTCCCGAAGTGACTCAGCTTTCCGAATTTCCTGAGGCTTGACGGCACACAGAACTACTACCCCCGACTAGACCCCCCCCCCCACCACCACCACCATCCACAGCAGCACAGTGTCAGTGTGTTAATGTGTCACCCCAGCGACAGTCAGGGAGTAACTCAGTCACTGGCATTGAGAGCCAGGGTGGAGGTGGAGCAGAGTAGCAGCAGAGTAGCAGGTGATGGCTATTCCTTACTGAGAACCTCCTTGTTGCCATAACACCACTGGGAGCTCCATTCCTGTACATCCTGTTTCGGCTGCTGTTACCCAGGATGCTGCTGGAACCCGCATCAGACCTTCTCCTCAGCACCTTTGAATTTCCCTTCCCTTCCAACGCCAATCATCTGCCTTCCCGATCCCCATGCCGAGAGACGCCTGTGGAATCTCTGATCCTCCAGAGCTTGGAGTTAGTCTTAGGGTTAGGCCCATGCTTCACTATGTCAAATGTTTGCTAAGTGATGGGTGACTAGAAAGTTGTCCAGCGGCACTGAGCATGCCCAGTGTTCGGGGCTCATGAAGTGACTCGTCTGAGTAAAAAGACTCGTATGTAATTAGCCGTTGACAGGGCCGACCTCAGCATGGCGGAGCTGCACTAGAACTTCTGAGATGAAATAGAGACCTATGGCCCTCCATGGCGGTGTTGGGGTGCGATTCCTCACTCAACACCTCGATCAACACCCAATTAGTAGCCAGGGGGCAAATAACCAGCATCAAGCAATAAACTAAACTAAATTTAATACCATTAAAGAGTATTATTATTCCAGGTGTTCGTAGGATTGAATTTCCTGTAGTTTCTATCCAGTTTTTCTCAGCACCCCAGAGGAATGTGGTCACTCTCGTCCACGCAGAGGTGCTGTTTGAAAGGTCAGTCTCCTGCGGCCCCCGTCAGCTGGCTGTTGGGTGTCATCAAGGTCGCAGGAGGCAGGTCGCCTTCTAATGACTCAGACAGGCATAATGGCCGACGGCAGGATAGCTTTCAATTACAGAGCTCTGTGCTTAGAGGCAGCCTGCAGGCTAACTAAGGGAAGTCCCCTTGGTCTTCGCAATTAAATCCAAGCTGAAGGCCTTTTTTATCTTAAGGACATTTTATTTCAGAATATTTTATCCAAGCTCCCTCTAACTTAGTCTAATTTGCCTTAAATAACCCCTCTGCTTCTGTGCTCAGTCTTCATTAATGCCTGTGCTCCTCATTATCAATACTGGCCCACACTTTGTTTGTTCTCCCCGTTTTCAGGTGCTTCCATGCCTAGGGGGGGGGGGGGACACCTCTGGAGCTGTAAGCTCCACGCTACGTAAATGTGCTCTCCATACATGCTCACAGGGCCTGGGGGTTGGGGGTAAATATGTTGTCTTGGTATCAGCTGAAAGGTGCTGAAATGCTTTTATCCTTCCCAGTGTCCCTCCACCCCTCACATACTGCATGTACGACCCATGGTAGTACTCGCTAAACCTGACTCAGTAATAATTTAATTATTGCCGTGCACGGGCTTAACTGCAGTAGTTTCACTATGCAAAGCTGTTTAGGTTAATGGGAACATGGGCTCTTGTTAGCTGACCTTAATGCTTTATTTCAGTGCATAGTTAATGTGAGCAGACTCTCAACAGTGAAGTTTGAGTAGTTTTTCCCGTCTGGCCAACTCTCATGAGCGTCGAGTGTGCTTGACGCTTGCACACGATCCCAAAGACTGTTTAAAAGATGGGTTTCCTTGGCAACCGTGCCAGTGGAGCTGGAGGTGAGGGACACTTGTGACTTTGTGTTCTTCTGCACTGCAACAAGGCACGGGAGTACTGTAATAAGGCACGGGAGAGCTGTAGTAAGGTACAGGAATGTTGTAGTAAGGCACAGGAGTGCTGTAGTAAGGCACAGGAGTGCTGTAGTAAGATACAGGAACATTGTAGTAAGGCCCAGGAGTGCTGTAGTGAAGTACAGGATTGTTGTAATAAGGTACAGCAGCTTTGTAGTAACGAACAAGAATACTGTAATAAGATACAAGAGTGCTACGATAAGGTACAGGGGTGTTGTAATAAGGTACAGAGTTGTTGTAATAAGGTACAGGGGTGTTGTAATAAGGTACAGAGTTGTTGTAATAAGGTACAGGGGTGTTGTAATAAGGTTTGTAAACTATCATTTCAATTAGTCTTTCAATTAAGGAAAAAAACAGTCAAAGCACAAGAAGAACTGAATTAATTAGCCAAGCACAGGAGCCTTTCTAAATCTACTCAATAGTTTCTAAAACCTGAAGTAGCTCATAGTGCCCCCCTGACATGGATCAGGTCACCCTAGTTAAACTGTGCTGAAAATGTCTAAAGAGTATTGATAGACAAATGGAAATCATTGCAGCAAATTTTATATTGAAAATCACAAATACAATTAGCATCACTGCACAATTTTTGTTTACATAAACGTTATATTAATAACATGGCCAATGTGACGTCTCATGTCATGTAAAATGTGCATCAACGTTAAAAAAATCTGGAGCACTAACACTGCCTTCCAGAGGGTTTTCACTGACACTAAATAATCCTACGTTGCTTGCTTTTACCGTGGTTTACCGTGAAACCGGTTACCATTTCATCCCCATATACATAACAGCACGAGTAAATAGGTTCAATTGTTTTAATAATGTGAACTGCCCTCCTGTGGTGGTTCTACGCTACTGCAGCTGTGGAGTGGCACCAGAGTTGATAGAGTAGTTTTAAAGCTAGACTGTAAATTAATACACTGAGGAAAACAACACTATGTTTGTCCTCCTATGCTAAGTCTCATATTAAGCATTATGTTCTTGAACGGTGCTGTTTTCCCCCAAACACGTCTTAAATATGACATAAAACAGCAATTTGTTTCACTTGAGCAGTTCCAGAGACATAAACTGCTATTTTGTAATCTCAAACTAGACAACACTGTGGGAATAAAAAAACAGTCGTCCTTGAAAAATGCTGGGAATTAAACTGCAAAGTACCAACCTGACACGGTTTGCTCGCACACCATATCATTAACTCGTAATCATACAGTGGAAGGAATCAACACAGCAGGAGAACAGCCTCGGAAGGCGGGGCAGTGAAAGGACCGTCACGAGTGGACATCTTTCCGACCTGCTGCGTGGTGCAGACATCAGTACAATTTAGCATAGCATTTGAGAATTTTCGCTCGAAATGCTGTCTGAACTATAAAGAAAACCTTCTACAGCCCTACGTTGGGATACTCAGGTATCACCGCCAGGCATGACAGCTGCAGCTCCGAGGAGCCCTGTAGAGGGCGATATGGTGCACCGAGCGAATCACCAGGACAAAGCTGCCCACACTGCAGGACACCGGTACCCAGCGATTATCAGAGGCACTCAGCAGCCATGCAGCAAGCTGTCCCAGTGGCTGAGCTTAGACGGGTGCTTCTAGAGCTAGAAGTGAGAGGCTGAAAGACGGTTCTAATCCCAGGCTGTTAGAGTCATTAACACCTCCAAATAAAAGAACATTTTATAGCTGCCTCCTGCTCTTCTCAATTCTATCTTTACTTTTTATATGCTATTTATATAAGTTGATATTTTTAGTCCTGTACTTATTTAATTAACATATGCTGTGCTGGCTTTTCGGGCAGGGAAATGCGCTTGTAATTGAAAAATTGTTGGTTTGAATCCCCGAACAGTGAGGTATCCTGAGGTACCCCCCCCCCCCCCCCACAAGCACTGCTCTCTGGGTGTTGAATTAGCTGACCCCTGCTGTATCACATATGGGTTAAATGCTGAGGATGCATTTTGTTGCTGATGACAACTAATCACTTTCACTTCAATTTTGTTATCCTTCTACCTTATGTTACAAGTTGACCCTTCTGCTCCAGATTGGCCAGCAGATGTTGCTGCAGTTTTCAGTGGTTACACCTATTGACTTGGTTCACACAAGCAGAGGTGGCAATTTCAGGTCCAGAAAGTAAAAATCCAGACCATGATTTACTTTCAACCAACCAGTTGAGTACTCTGTGACTGTGACTCTTTATGCTCAACTGGTTGGTTGAAAGTAAATCATGGTCTGGAGTTTTACTTTCTGGACTTGAAATTGCCACCTCTGCACACAAGTAGCTCCAACAAGAACAACATCTGATGACGTTCACATTCTGACCACCAGGGTGCAGCAGAGTATTATCTTGTTCCACAGTTGCTACAAGGCAAAATTGGGCCGTGTAGTCCTGTTCTTTACTCATGTACTAGAATAATGCTTACGTTGAAATTTTTCAAAGGTGCCCCAAAAATGTACTTATCAAGGGTGCCGGTGGGGCTAAACTAGGCCACACAAGGGCAGCAGCTTAGACAGGATGCCAGCCTATTGAAATCTAACAGTTCTACTAGAAATGTGAAAGAGTTGTAATTAAGTTTCCCCCATTTATTTTGGCATAGCTTAGAGATGGGTTAACTAAAACATAGCCATGAACTAATTTATAGCATTATGGGATGCCGCAATGATGTAGTGAAGTAGTCTGAGTGGATTAAAATGTGAAATGTTACAAGCATATATGTCGATGGAAAAATGAATACAGACATAGACTGCAGGTGCAGATGAGGTGAAGGCATCTTGCTTATGGCGCGTGCCAATGTCGTCTGATACTCGCTCCGTCAAAGCTTCTCATTTTCTTTCACTTTGCATTGTTTTGCAGCACCTTTCGTATAAGCAGAGCAGCTGAGGACTTTCTACTAAAGTTAGCATCC